AAAGAGTTCTTCTAGCATCTTGCAGCAACGAGCAATCCTGGCCTGCGCCGGCAAATGTCCGGCCGCGAGCCACTCTTGGGACGGGGCAAATTGGTTTACCGGCAACTGAGACCGGATCCGGCATTTGTCCTCGGCTGACAGCTGCTAGTCCCCGGCCGTGGACCGGCGATCTGGCACTGGCCTTGATTGGCCGGCAAATTCTACCCCGGGGGCAGCCCAGGATACGGACCCTGCGGCCTGGCCATCTATCACGCGACCAGCTGCCCAGGCGAGAGAGTGACACCGCGACAGGGGACGCAACCCTCCTCCCCCTCTTTGCCTTATGAACCGTCCCAGCTGGAGTCCAAAAAGTTGCTTTCGTCCAATGTTTTCTCTACCCATTTGAGTATCTGCGGTTCTATTTCTACCTCAACGCAGGTAACACCCATACAGAGAACAACATTGTGACATGAATACATCAATTATACTAATATAACAACAACAATAACAATAGCAACAGCAACAATTATTTAAACGCATAATTGTCATAAACAGCTAACTTTGACTCTGACTCTGACTCTGACTCTGACTCTCTCTCTCTCTCTCTCTCTCTCTCTCTTTCCCTCTCTCTCTCTCAGTGAAACAAGCACATGTACGCAAACACACAAACACGCACCGGTTCACACATATATACAAACACACACACATACAAACAAACACATACGACATACACATACACACACACTCAGACACTCTCACACACACATACAGACTAACACGACGTAATGATAAAAACATATCTGTACTTACAGTTCCTCCTATCTTGTCAAGCTCTTGGTCAAGTAACTCCAAGTCAAAGTCTGGGGAAGACAGAGCAAAAGTCACTATAAATAACGGTAATACGAAGGGATAAAACATCAATATTCAACAAAATACAACATTTCATTGATGACCTCTGCAACAAAACTATTTTTAAAAATCTTTGCTTGAGAGAGAAAAGACAAGAAAAGGCAGATTTTAAAAAAATAATTTTCTTTTAACTTCTAGTGGTTAACACGAGTCGAACGATATTTTAGTGCGCCTCTCTCTCTCTCTCTCTCTCTCTCTCTCTCTCTCT